TATATATATGGGTCATCTCCAATAATTGTATCCAAAATAAGTTCCTCGACTTATGCTATGATTGCAATAGTACGTATATATATATATATGGGTCATCTCCAATAATTGTATCCAAAATAAGTTCCTCGACTTATGCTATGATTGCAATAGTACGTATATATATATATATGGGTCATCTCCAATAATTGTATCCAAAATAAGTTCCTCGACTTATGCTATGATTGCAATAGTACGTATATATATATATATGGGTCATCTCCAATAATTGTATTCAAAATAAGTTCCTCGACTTATGCTCTGATTGCAATAGTACGTTCTCGAGTGTTACTGAAAATATTGGAAACATTGGAAATATTGGAAAATGTTTCTGTTTGGGAGATTAGACGATTTGGAAATCTTCTCCTATATTCTTCAACAATTCTGTAGTTTCCTCCTCAGAAACCTAACACTAATAGTATGTCAGCTTGTTCGCTAAATGAAAACTTCCCGGTCATTTTCAAAACACTCAGTAGACAATTACTGAAATCAAATGACTTCTTTTCGTGATCGTCAAGTTTGACGTTTAAATTCATAGCCAACTTATGAACTTTCAATGATTTTAATAACAGTTACAATACGTATTATTAGCTATTCGTGTTTTTGTTGAAAACTAACAGGAGTAAAAAAGTTTTAAAATTAAATTCGCCATAAAGTAATAATTTTTTAAGTCCGCCGAGTTAAAAAATTTTGTCACATTTTAATGGTGCATCATTCCCTATCAACCCTTTAAAATGCTTTGATTGAACTCTACTTACTGTCGATTGGTGGTACACTCACATCGTGTACCAACTTTGGTTTTTCCGAGTAGGTATAACTGAGATATTGATTTTTTTCGAAAATGAAACCCCTCTTTTAAAGCCTATAACTTCTGAGGGGTGCAGGTAAGTTGCGTTAAATCACCATATTTTGGGTTCCCTTACATGCCCCTGCTCTGTGTTACTTCTTATTTGTTTTGATCCTTTGCACAATATTTTGCACAGATGAAGTAAACAAAGAGATATCTAATTTTTATGACCTAAGGAAGAAAATGTCGAACGAAGTTAGTACTGTCAATGAGGCAGGTAACAAGGCATTAAAAAAACTTGAATGGAATACATACATATGTGACCTTTGTCTACAACAGAATGAAGGTATTATAAGACACCCTTTATAATAAAATGTTTTTTCTTAATGGAGAATGTAAATATTTGTTTAATAAATTTAACAACGTAAAATATACACACGGAGTGGTTCCATGGTAAATAAACCAAAATATTGTGCAAAGTAATAAAGCCTTTCTGTAAATAATGGAAATAAAATGATAGTTGAAAAAACAATTTGTTTGCAAAATAACATTCGTTAAATTAAATGCAATAGTGATTGTCGCGAAGAAAAATTTTTTAGATATTTTAAAAATAGATAAAAAAATGCAAACTTTTATAACACTACTTTGAAATGTGAGATACTTGCTTGTAATTATTGAATAAAATCGAGTTTAAAATACTTATAATTATATCTAACAGGGTGGTCCGAATTTTATGTGGAAAAGGAGGGCAGATAGATACCTTTAAAATAATAAGTGTTTGCCTTGTAAACATAGGTCTGGAACGGCCCCGTTTTAGAGATACAGGGTGTTGAATTTGTTAAAAAAAAATTGATTTTTTGTTTATATCTCCGGAATCTATTAATTAATCTGAATAAAATTTACTACAGATAATGTACGATAGTAGGCCTTGTATTCCCTAAAATATGAGCTCCAAAGGTTCAACCAGTGGTGTACAACTGGACAGGGTCATCCCATTTTTTTTTAAAAAAATCTACGCCACTGTATTTTTTACAAACTATTATAACGGATTTATATTCTCATGCACAAAATACGTAAAAAAGGTAACTTGCATTTTTCCCCTAAAATTCATCGTTCTCAAGTTATTCATACTAATACAATCCCCTTGTGGCAGACAATTCTAATTTATTACAAGAATATTTATGTTTATGCTTAAAAGTAAGTGCAATTTGTAAACAAAATTCTTTACACTCGTCGCTTTCATCTTTTTGGATTAAAACGATATTTGGAAAATCACGACGGAGCAATAGAAAGACACATAAATGAAATTTTAAGAGCATTTGACGACGATTCTCGGCTAAGTAAACAAAGAACGTTTCGGCAATTTGGGGTGAGTAAATCGAAAATTTGAAAAGTTCTACATAAGGATGGCAGAAATCCGTGCCATTTACGACCCGTGAAAAATTTACTTCCGGAATATGCAGAGAGACGCCTGAATGTTTATCAGTGGTTGTAAGAATTCTTACTAGAAATACTTTGCACCGATGAGACTACGTTCACAAGGCGAGGGGTTGTGAATTTTCACAATCTGCATATTTGGTCACAAGAAAAGCGTCATGAAATACGGACAAGATCTTTTCAACACGAATTTTTTGTGAACGTGTGGCTCGGAATAACTCGCAATAAAAGTATGCCTCTTCTTGCCGCCTCATCTAAATTCCAAGTCATTTCTAAACTTTCTAGAAAACCATCTATTTGAAATATTAGAGGATGTTCCCTTAAATATACGACAAAATAGCTGGATACAAATGAATGGTGCTCCCGCGCAATTTAGAAGAATAATACAAGAATGGCTTAATGAAAATTATATGGGGTGATGGACAGGTAGAAGACCAAATGCCAATGTCAACCATAATGCTACAGAGAGTCCAGTTCTTGGCCAGCCAGATCGCCAGATCTAAACCCCCTGGACTTTTACGTTTGAGGTTACCTAGGTAGGTAAAGTTTATTCCAATAGATAATTGACCACAACTACTGCAGCAAATAGAAGACGGGTGTAATGAATTAAAAAGAAACCACCACATGATATTAGCTTCAATTAGTTCCATTAATAGAAGATGTCAGAAATATATCGATGTGGGTGGTTCGCATTTTGAACAATTGCTGTAAATACGTAACGTTAATTTTGTTTCTTGTTTAGTTGTCGATGCTTGGTAAATGTAAATGTTTTTATTATTATTTTGATTTAAATTGTTCTTATTTGTAAAGATTAGGCCTCCAGGGAAAACTAAAACACCAGGAACACTACCTCACAGGTGATGTGGAAAGAATTTTGTTGATGTGCTTACAAATTGCACACACTTTTAAGCACAAACATAAATATTCTTGTAATATTATGGTTTGAAGTATCTGCTACAAGGGGATTGTATTGGTATGAATAACTTGAAATTGGTGAATCTTGGGGAAAAAATTCAAGTTATCTTTTTACGTATTTAGTGCATTAGAATATAAATCCGTTACGATAACTAGTAAAAAATACAATGCCGTAGTTTTTTTTATAAAAAGAGGACGATCCTGTCCAGTTGTACACCACTGGTTGAACTTCTAGAGTTCATATTTTAGAGAATGCAAGGCCTACTATCATACATTATCTTCTGTACCAAATTTTATTGAGATCAGAGATAGATTCCGGAGGTACAAATAAAAAATCAATTTTTTTTTAACAACTTCAACAACCTGTATCTCTAAAACGAGGTCCTTCTAGACCTATGTTTATAAGGCAAACACCTATTATTTTAAAGAGCCTGTCCTCGGAAGTTTGCTGCATAAAATTCGAGCCACCCTGTATATACTGTCTTAATAGGACTAAGAAAGGGTAATACCTTCTGGATAATTTCGAAATTACGCAACTCTCGGTATGCCTCAATTTTTGGGTGGTGTTCCACTTCTAGTGAACAATAATATTTTATAATTAATCAGAAATATGTGTTATTAGTGGACTATTGCATATACTTTGCCATTTTTATTTAATTTTTATAAATTTGATAGGAGTATTAATCACTTATCAATGAATATTTAACCTTTTGTAATCTCCAGGCCATTTTGATGGAAGTTCATGGAAATACCGTTTTATATCAAATAAATTTCCTTATTGCAAAGGCTTTATGAAGTTACACAGAAATTACTCCACCCTATTTTTCCACCCATTGGACGTTACGAACAAACAAAAAATAATTATTATTTCATTATAGGTATCAATGCAAAACGCATCATTATAATTTACTTTATAAATAACATAGGGTGTCTGAAGACCATGAACAAAAAATGTCAAATGCGATTCTACTTATGAAAATAATGGTTCATCTTTCTATATGACACTTTTTCAAAGGCTCAATATTTACGGAATTGTAAAGTCAAACAATGGGTATGGAATTCATATTGAAATAACACTGCGAGTGGTTTCCATCTACACTGACAATGAATACAAAAATTTTTACCTAAAAACATTAGTAAACTAAAATGTTTAAAACCTAGTTAGACATGTCACATGAGAATCTGTTGATATATGCCTATGAAATTATCTTAATAATAGTTATACTGGAACCTAATTAATTCCTATATCAATCGACGTACACACGCAAGGTACTTCTGAAAAATATAATATAAATCCTAGTAGTAACAGAGCAACTCTTAAAAAATATTTTTTTCCAGTGTAGATAGTACAGACAATAAATGCCTGGTTAGTTCTTTTTAATAAGGTAAACAGGGTGTACCTACTGTATCTGACGTATTTTTAAGGCTATTTAGAGTTTCTCGAAACTTATTCCTCAAATCACAAAACTATATGCTTACTTTTAGAGATATCAGCAAAATTCGTTTTAAGAAATTTAATTTTAATGCCGTATATCGAAAATAATAGCAAGTAAACCTAAGATTCATAGGAAAACATAGTCTTATTTCTTTAAGATTTGCAGTACTTTTTTCTAAAACAATCTGTATTTGTTAAGAATGACAAAACATCTTTACTACATCCAATAACAGTTTATTAATTAGAACATATAAGCAATTGTTTAATGAAAACTGACTGATCTTTTTACAAATGCGAAGCGTAATATCAAAACTGTTTAATAATAATAAGTTAAGCAAACCAAATATTTTAAAAATGTTTTAAAATTAAGAAAATAACTCGAATACATACCACTATATAAAGCATCAATTTTATGTAAATACGATGTGATACAGAACACAAGGAAATATTTTACTAATATACACATCATTCAAGACCCTCTATTGAGTGATGGTACCACTACTACAATTTCATTTAAACTGAAGTGTAAAGTAAATATAATACAAATAATGATTAACCCCAATAGGCGAGCGGTTCACCACTCGAAAAAGGCATGAACCGACTAAATTTTTAAAACAAAAACCTACAGCATGAAACCTTTTTTATTTTATAAAGTGTATTTTTCTGATAATTTACATATTTTTTGATGTTTTACGGCGTGGTCAGTCAACTGTTATAAACAAAAAAGTTGTAAAAAAATTACTCGCCAAATGGCTTTAGAAAGTTTTTTATTATAAAACGGATTGAAATAAACACTTTTTTAACTTTGACAAAAATTCGAAAAATGCTTCGTTTCTGAGATATTTACAATTTAATGTGAAAAAAGTGACGACATTGACAAACTTTCGGAATTTTTTTCTCGAAAACTTCTGAACAGATTTTAATTCTAAAAAAGCACAATAATCGGCAGATTTTCTACTTTAAGATATATTTTTTTGGTATGAGTCAATAATTTTATTGAAGGTTCAAAGCTAGTAAAAAAAATTTTTTAAAGAAAATTATGATAACACTTCAAATTTAAATTTTCTTTTTACAATATCTTGGATTATATTATATTTACAAGAAACAGTATTATGATTTTTTTTAAATCAATATACGAGTATGTTAACAGTACAAATGTTCAAAAGATCATTTTGTTTGGTTTTGTAGCCGGAGTAAGGTTTTTGCAAGTAATTAGTAAAATTTAAATATTCGATTTTTGGTTTTATAAGTGGCTAATATTGACTTGAAAATTATACCAAAACTAAACTAAATAATTTCAATTAAAAAATAATCGTAAAATTAACCTAATAATAATAATTGACCTAGCGGTCTCGAAAAATAAAAGAGTTATTGGATATTTTATTGTATATGATCATTACGTTATTTTTATTTTACAAAAATATTAAGAGCAATAAAAGTATATTAATTTCTTTTTTATTTAATTTTTAAATAATAAGTTTTTCGTTATTTTCGACAAGTTCTTGGGTTGAAATGTTTTTTTTTACTCGCTTTAGACCTTCAATAAAATAATTGACCCATACCAAAAAAATATATCTTAAAGTAGAAAATCTGCCGATTATTATGCTTTTTTAGAATTAAAATCTGTTCAGTAGTTTTTGAAAAAAAAAATCCGGAAGTTTGTCGTTTCGTCACTTTTTCACATTAAATTGTAAATATCTTGGAAACGAAGCNGCCATATGTATCAGGTCACGGTACCGATTGATAATTGCGCCAGCGATGCGATAAAAGTCACCAATGTTTTTCGTATGAGGCATTCTTATAACTCCGGATAAGAACTTGTAACAATCCATCGTGTTTTTGTAACTAGTCTAGTGTTATTGGCTTCCTTTATTGTTTCAACGTCGTTGTGGCTGTCAAGCCCAGTGCAATTTTCGCTGAAGTTTATTCTTATTGGGCTAAATTTTCAAAATCTTAATATTTTGTTGCTTCTTATAATGTGTCATTATTATATTTTTTTTTCAATTAATAAATTAAGTACCTATAAAAAAGATTGATAAAAACTGTGAAGATTTTAAAATATGCTTAAAAATAGGATAAGTAGACCGATCAAAATAACTCATTTAGAGGGAAAAAAAATAAAATTGGTACCTGGACTTTTATAAGTGGAAATAGTAAAGGGGCTTATAATAAACGAAAAAAAAATAAATGCGTGAGCATGGGCGGTGGAGGGTTGATTTGGGGGGTGGAAAAGTTATGAAAAATTGTATCATTGGGATTTCTGGCGAAAGTTGACGTCAGACAAAAGTATCATATACAAGTTGTAGATCATGCAAAAATCTACAACTTTTGTAGAGGTCATTTTTTAACATAACCTCAAAATTTCCGAGAAAAATGCGAAAAACAAGTCTGATTTTTCTTTTTTTATTTCTCATATCTGCAAAAATTATTTAATTTTCACGAAACTTGGTGAAAGTGTACCTTTTTCTGTCTTAAACAACCTAAAATTTTTTAGATAAAAAAATTAAGAAGTTTCTCATATTCATTTTTTTCGGCCTGAAACACATTTTTTTTCAAAGAAAAATTCTACTTAAAAAATCATCGTTCAGAGTTCTGCCGGTAATGATTTTTTTCGTTTTGACATATACTTTTTGGTGAAATAAAAACATTTATAATCAGTTTAAAAACATGCTCAAAAATGTAAAAAAATATGATTTGCAGCAATGAATTTTTCAATAATTGTTGATAATTTATTTAAATTTAAAAAAAAATCAAAAACTGATTACACCATTCAACTGTACGGTGAAAATATAAAAAAAAACTATTTTTGTACAGTAATGCTATAAACGTAAGTCGAATAGTGAATAAATAAAATAAATAATAATTTTTTTCCTTAGGATCAATTAGTGTACTTATTTTGTTTAAAGTTTGATGTATAGTAAGTATGTATAGATATACAGTATGTCCAAGATAAGGATGGGATAGGCATTAGTATCTAGGAAACGGTAAGAGATACGGGGTGGCTCAGATTAGAAAAAAGTTGTGTTTTTTTATTACCTAACAATATGCTGTTTAGAAAGTTTTAAAATTCCGGGTAG